GCACATTATTCTGCTGTCAAATGGACCAGGCACTAAAGTAGGACAAAGAGCCATGCACAGGGCTAGCTAGATCCATGGAGAGACAATGTTACATGTGACTCAGTGGGCACTCTATCCCCCTGTAGTGGCTGGGTTACGTGAGGAGGTTTACAAATGGAGCTGGGTAAATAATGGATTTTTCAGACTGGGGATTGAATGAAAATACATAGAAAAACTACTTCAGTTCAAAACAATTTTTTTTTTATTTTTTGCACGTGAAAAAGAAAAGAAAAGAAAACCCCACCAAATACTTGAAAATACCAATTCAAATGCAACAAAATGTTTCAGTTGACATACAAGATGATCTTACATTTTTCTCTTTCATTCAAGCATTTATGATAATTTGCCTCAAGCAATTGAGAAAAAAATCGTGACCATGTTAAACACTAGAGTTTCAGAGACAGGGATTGTCTTTGGCACAATCGATCTGAGGCTCTGGATCATTTTTTGTCTCGTTGTCTGAGAGACAGCCCCTCTCCTTCTTCTGATTTGTGGCAGATAGGATTAGCTTGAGCATTCTAATTGACCAGTGTCAGGGGGCTGCTCACTAGTGAGTCCTCAGCTCCAGAAATCTACTCAAGTTTAGGTTCGGTTGGCTTTAGGATGCTACGGCCAACAAATCACTTTATTAGAAAAAGGTCTTGACTATAAAGCATTTCCTCTTGGCTAGGTTTTATCTTTATGCTAGTGGAGACAAGTAAGGCAAGATAAAATGTTACTCTTTTGGTAAATGAAGAAGCTTGTTTTCTTCTTGTATAATACTAGGTATGAAAGAATAAAATAAAGTAGTTCTAAAAAGTTTAAGGACATAATGACTAGAAACAAAAGGTTCAGTTCACTAACTTCAGAGCATGCATTGTTTAATAAATCAAACAGTTTCAATGCAAAACTAGTTTAGCTATGTATCCAGCAAATAAGGATGTTCTATAAGTATAAGTATAAGTATAAGTATAAGAATAAGAATAAAAATAAGAATCATGGGTCCAAATTCCCAAATTAATGAGAGTAGTTTACAAATGTGGAGGATTTTTTTTAAATGAAGTCCGGGTTCTCTTTGTTTCCCTTTTAGGTTCTGACTCTTTAAAGTGCTATCGGGGCACATTTTCAGTTTTTCCAGGTAGGCCAGAAATACACGGAAGAAAGGAAAGATATTCCTTGCTCATAGGTGTAGTTTACTCACATCCCAATGACTTCAAGAACCCTTTCCTTTGAGGAATGTTATGTGTCTATGAGTGATTGTGGAATTAGACCCGAATTCTCCTGGATTTGAGAAAATCACCAACTACATGTGTCATTATTATTCTAAGGGTTGACATAGTAGCCACATTCACAAAGTTTATCCCTCCTCTCTAACAGTATTCCCCATTCTCTATAGTGCCCAAGTATAAAAATGTAAATCAGAACAACCCAGGAAACTACAGACCCCTCAGTTTACTGGATTTCCAATTCACAGTGTTGTTTCAGGCCAGTTCCGCAAACCAAATTCACACATAAGTGTTGGAACATCAGTTCATTTACAAGTTTAATTCTTTGGAGAATAGCATGAACAGAGACATCAGCTGTCTTGCACACTGGAGGTGATCATTGTTCTTATCACATTATTCTGCTGTTAAATTGACCAGCCTCTAAAGTAAGACAAAGAGCCATGCATAGCCCTAACTGGGGCTACCACACCAGGCTGGCTATGATGTGGCTATGGCTATGATAATGTCTCTCCATGTATATCTCCATTAATATGTATCTGTAGCCAAGTTTTCAGAAGAGTTCAGCACCCAACATAGCTTTTGAAAATCTACACCCACGTTTCTCCTCAGTAGGATCAGTCATGATGTCTAAGGCTGCCACTGCACTGCAGTCTGGGAGTGCAATAGCAGCATGTGTAATACTTAGCACCCTCCGCCGCAAGTTTTCCCCTCAATGCTAATTCAACTAAAGATTGGGAAAGTGTTTTAATTTAGCATTATATCCACAGGCCATTGCACATTCTACAATAAATAAAAAATGAATTTTAAATCAATAAAGCAGGTACAAAGTCTAAAAACACAGGACTAGCACTTCCCTATCATCATTTGTGCTTTTATAATCACTGCCCCTAAAATTATACAGAAAACTAAAAGAAAGAACGAAAGAACGAAAGAACGAAAGAAAGACTTTTTTCATCTAGAAATATCCTTTTGGTCATATACATTTTACAGAGAATTTGGCCTTATATTATAATTATGAAAACAGATTAAAAATACAGAAAGAAGATTTTCTTACCTAGACTAGAACCATTTATGAAGAAAAGCCCAATGATAATAATGGCTAAATGATCCATGTCTATGGGAATCTTGGTCTCATTTAGTCTCAAACTTTTTTCTGCAGATCAAGAAAAAAATGTTAGTTATTGAAAACGTCTGAGTCACAGATTTGTCCTGATCCACAGGTATCTGTCTATAAAGGCATGTCTACACTAGGGAGTTATTTTGAAATAACAATTAGAGTGTCTACACTATGGGTGCATCTGCACTGTATTGTAACTCAAAATAGTTAATTTTTGAGACTATTTCAAAATAGCTTATTTCGTTATATGGAGCACCGCATTTTGAAATAAAGCTCTGTTCCAAAATTCCCTTACCCCTTGTAGAATGATGTTTACAGGGACTTTGGAATAGCGATCTCAATAATGGGCTTGCTGTGAAGACATGGGTTAGCTATTTCAGAATACTCCAGTATCCTGGAATACTATTGCAGTGTAGGTGTATCCTACCCAGCCTGTTATTTTGAAAGAAGGGGCTGGTTATTTTGAAATAACTCCTGCTTGTGAGGAGTAGCAGCACTATTTTAAAAAAGTTATTTCAGGAGTTATTATTTCTAAATAACTCATTTTGAAATAATCTTGTAGTATAGACATAGCCTAAGAGACAAAATGATTTTAGGTTGGGGTCATTTATTGTGTGTGTTTGCTGGAAGCACAGTTAAAATTATTTGACAAATGAACTGGACAAAATGGATACATGTCAGGTTTTCAAAACAAATAAAACACACACAACATCATGATTCCTCAATAATTTATCAAAGAGTGTTAAAAAAACAAATAGTTTTCACGACATGCAAAATCTTTAAGAATGTAAAAAGGAAAGATATAGTCTAAAATTTATCCAATGATTTGCTAATAGATCCAGACCACAAATTGACTATAGATATGGCTTACATATAGATATTGCAGTTAAGGAATTTAATTAAACCCTCTGCAAAATTCCCTCATTTTAGGTACTCAAAAATGCATTTTTCTTCTTTGACTTTCCTTAAAGTTGTTTCAGTACCTAAAAGGACTGTTATCTGCAACTCACAAATGATTCTTACCTTTTATTTAGATGATATTACTCAATCAATAATAAACAGACCTACCAGTGCTCTTGTTTCAAAGTTTTCTGAGGGGGGAAAAAAGAAATAAAATGTTTTACATATGGTTTCCTGTGCATTGGTCTATGTGCATTATGGGTGAGAAATAGATAAAAAACCACCAATGAAGGAGAGACTGCTAACATTTTACTAATAAAATAATTTGCATTGTGACAAAATCAATATTTCCCCTTCTTTGCAGGTATCATTTCTATCTGTTTCCTACATAGAAAGGGTGAGATTTTTTATGTTCTCTAGCTAATCACTTTTTTCCTTTTAAGTGTTTGGGCAAATTATGTAATAGGTAAGCACACAGGGCAGAAGGAACATCTGTTTTTATAAAACACTAAGTTGTTGTACACACATGCTAACCAGCTCCCCAGAGATTACTGCCAAGTTACTGGGAGTTGTGGGCTGGTAGAATCTCATATGCTTTAGGCCCATATAAATTGACGTGTGTGTGTGTGGGAGGGAAAGTTTGCAAGTGCCTTGGAGCATCGGGCCATAGTATAAAATGATCTAGACAAACTTCAGAAGTGGTCTGAAGTAAATAGGATCAGCTGTGCTGTCGCTGCCTCTTTAAAATGTTGCCTCCACTTGCATTTGAAAGGGGCAGCCCTGGAGCCCGGGGGTCAGCTGGGGACTTCCCAGCTGATCCCAGGTTCTATGCAGCACTTCCCGGGAACCCAGGGTTAGCTGTGGAAATGTTGCACATAGCCTAGCTTAGCTGTGAGGTGGCTTCTCCTTAGAAATGCCTCCTCTGCATGTTTCAAAGGGGCAGTGGAGCCCAGGGTCAGCAGCACTTCAAAGGGGCAGTGTAGCATTAACACCTGCACTTAACGCATTACAAAAATGGAATGTGTTAATCCTGGACTGCGTTAATTGCAGGCATTAACACATTTCAACTGACAGCCCTATGCAGAAATATTTGTTGTTGTTTTTAAGTTTAAGTTAAGGAGTACTGCAGAAAGGGATCTTGGCATCAGTGGACCAAAAGCTAATGTGAGTCAGTGTGATAATGTTTCCAAAAAAGTCAATATCACACTAGGATGCACTCACTGGAACATTGTAAGCAAAACGTGAAAAGTCCTTCTTTCAGTGTTGATTAGGACTGAAGTAGAGTATTCTTCGAATTTTGGGCACCAGATTTCAGGAAAGATGAAGACAAATAGAGAAGGTCCAGAGCAGAGCAACGAATTACAACTAAAGGACTAGAGAGGGACCCGTGAGGGAAGACTGGGTTTGTTTAGTCTGGAAAAGAGAAGACCGAGAGGGGACAGTATAACAGTTTTTAGGTCCAAGTTGAACCTCTCTAGTCTGGCACTCTCTAGTCCAGCAACATCTGTAGTCTGGCATGAGTTTAGTTAGCCAGATGTGACCAAGTATCCCGTGTCCCCATAAAGTTTATTTACAATCACTAGTTCTGGCTCCCAGTGATCTGCTCTGTTATTTTGCTCCAATTCACCCCTTAAATGTTTTCTAAGAGCCCAGTAAGCAGAGGAAGTGTTGATAATGCTGATAGATAATATTAACCTCCCATAGTTTGATTCAGCATAGGTCAGATCCTGAGCTGTTGAAATAGAGAGGTTTAACCTGGATTTAAAATGTCACAGGGAAGAGGAAGAGAAATTATTCTTCCTAATCTCTGAGGATAGGACAAGAAGCAATGGGCTCAAATTGCAGCAAGGGAGGCTTCAACTGGACATTAGGAAATGCTTCCTACCTATCAGGCTGTTTAAACCCTGGAATAAACTGCCTTGAGAGGTTGTAGAATCTCCATCACTGATGATATTTAAGAGCAGGTTAGACAGACCATCTCTCAGAGATGGTCTAGACGGTGCTTGGTCCTGCCATGAGGGCAGGAGACTGAATTAGGTGACTTCACAAAGTTCCATTCTGTTCTATGATTCTTTGATTTCAATAGGACAAACTTTAAAAATGTGGGGAATTAGGAAACTGGATTGGACTGAAGAACTGAAGGATCTGGATGTGAAGGAGGCTTGGAATTACTTGAAGTCAAAGATACAGAAACTATCCGAGGTCTGTATCTCATGCAGGGTGAAAAAAATGTAGAGAAGGTTTGCATATAAAACTAGGCCTCTTAAGTGGGTTTTCTACTGAAAGCAGGATCAGGAAGTAAAACTACCATGTAGAGGTACATAAGAACATAAGAACGGCCGTACTGGGTCAGACCAAAGGTCCATCTAGCCCAGTATCCTGTCTGCCGACAGTGGCCAACACCAGGTGCCCCAGAGAGGGTGGACCGAAAACAATGATCAAGTGATTTGTCTCCTGCCATCCCTCTCCAGCCTCTGACAAACAGAGGCCAAGGACACCATTTATCCCCTGGCTAATAGCCTTTTATGGTCCTAACATCTATGAAATTCTCTAGTTTCTCTTTAAAATCTATTAGGGTATGTCTACACTACAAAGTTAATTCGAACTAATGGACTTTAGTTCGAATTAACTTTGATAGGCGCTACACTAGCGCTCCGCTAGTTCGAATTTAACTAGCGGAGCGCTTAGTTCGAACTAGGCTCTAGTTTCTCTTTAAAATCTATTAGGGTATGTCTACACTACAAAGTTAATTCGAACTAATGGACTTTAGTTCGAATTAACTTTGATAGGCGCTACACTAGCGCTCCGCTAGTTCAAACTTAATTAGAACTAGCGGAGCGCTTAGTTCGAACTAGGTAAACCTCATTCTACGAGGACTAAGCCTAGTTCAAACTTACTAGTTCGAATTAAGGGGTGTGTAGCCCCTTAATTTGAACTAGTGGGAGGCTAGCTCTCCCCAG